TTCAGAAGCATTCTATTTCCATTAGGTGCTCGATGGGTCTAAGCTGGTAATACTAACGCGTCAGTGTGTTTAGGCTTTTGCCGAGTTTATCTGAGTGTGTTTAGTATTTTAGCGCGTTTTTCCTGTCCGATTGCATTATCTCTACCAAGGTCGGCTTGCGGTCCAGCACTGTGGCCAATTAAAAATTAACCGAAACCGAATTTAACTTATCTAAACAAAATGACAACAAACAGCTAATACAGGACTAGTATAGGTCTCTTGCATCGTCCCAACTGAATATTTCTGCATCGTTTTCGAACCGACGACCCGGGCGATCAGGTAGCGTTTGTGCCACTGAGCACAGAGTGAATATTGTAGCAACGACGTTCAATCCACGGGCCCCGTTAAGATTGTACTCCAAACAAAACGCGTCCGTCATTGTTCGATTTCTTTTAAATGCGAAAACGATGGAAAACAATTGATATAACAGCATTACGATTATTCATATCTGAATCATGGTCGCCGAGGCCGTTTGCTTGTGAATTCTATTCACAAGTTAGTTTAGAGGTGGACAAAGATATTTAGAGGTGGACAAGTAGAGTTTTTTCTTGCTTTTTTTTACGCAAAAGCTGGCTATTTCTTGACTAACACCTGATGGTAAGCGTAAGAAAGCTTACGCTTTTTATGGCGAGCCCATCGTCGCCCTTTAGGCCACACATACTTACGCCCGGTTTCTGAAACACTGATCATTTTAAAAATTATCTAATCAGCTGTGAAATGACTTTTCAAATGAATCTACTTAATTCGGAATGATCAGAATGTTCAATTCAAAGAGTTTTACCATCCTTTTGGCAACTAAAATGACATTTGACAGCTGATTACTTAATTTATCGTCGTTAATTTCGTTTCAGAGACTGGGCGTTAGTTTTATAAGAGAAAAAATTGCAACCACCATTAGGAGATACTAAGAAGGTCTTAATTTTTTTATTTAGCTGGCCATCTTATATATTCATTTAACTGTGGTAGCCGATGGGTCCGGGGCAAGTGGAGTGTTTCCCCTAGTGAGTGAGGTAACCGGTTTCCACTTTATTACTAGGCGGCAAGCTGCCGGCAACGCATGTGCAACCCTATGGGTGTTGCAAATATCCATGGGCGGCGTCATGTGAACCGCCAGGTCACTCGCCATCTGTCATTTAAAAAATCGTGCTTTATAAGATTGTCATTATTTTATATCCAGTTCTGTAACGAAAGAACTGAAGTCTAATGGAAAGAACTGTGTTTATTGAATAACCTTCAAAATTACTTATCGTTGACGGCACTACGTATGTTATGAGTCACTGTATTGTTTGAATTCACCGTGTTTGTATAGTGCCTTAACTAATTTCAATTTAAGAATCTTGCTCTTATAAAAATTGCTCGAAATTATGTTCACTTTCACTGTCTATCAAACTATTCAACTGTTTACTAACCTTATTTAGTTCCTCATACCCGTGACATCGTGTGTTTTACTTATTATATTAAAAACTGCACTAACTAAGTTTGCCCCACATCACCACTACTTGAAAATACAACTGAACACGAAAAATCTTTGTTTCGTAAAACTTTAATAACTACATTATATAGAGGTCTCAATATTTGGTTCTAGTTATGGGCCAAATGTTTAAGAAATAAAACTTGGAGGAATTATTATTAAAATCTCTCCGGAAATCATCAACGTAACGTATTATCTATGCAGTAATCAGTCACGTAACATATAGCAAGCAAGCTTGCTTGGTTTTTCACATGTTTTAATATGATTTACTCCCTTTCCTCGAAATTTGAAACCACCGTTCTAGTCTTAACAGGTCTCTGATTCCTATCTTTGCTTATCTTTACGCGATACCCGTTTAATCCCAGTCACTTTTCGCCCCTGAAGCCGAACCGTGGTATCACACATTGTATGACTCAATAATGGTATTATGATAGAGCACCTTATCTCGGGACTGTAAAATTCAAATTCAAATGAGCAGTGCAACGGCCTTGTCTGTTTGCCAATCGAAAGCCGACACTATAGTCTGGGTGCGGCCGACCATTCCACTTGATGATTCGATCTCTGACAAGTCTTCCATTGGACAAGTTTTAACGGTTCAATTTATGAGAATAAATATATCCTGCGCCTACGACTCTGCAACCAATATCCTACTGACGCTTTACGTGGTAGGGCCACGCAACGGTCTCCGCTGTTGCACTAATGGGCAGATCCGTCCGGGTACCATCACAGCCTCACAGAAGACCGGCGTGAACTGGAAGTGTTATATTTCTGTGTTTCGTCTGGCGAGTGAGGTTTGCTACCCTGCGGCTGTTGCAAATTGGTGGCAGTTATCGCTTAACATCAGGTTAACTGCCAGCTCTCTTACCACCTAAACTTCTTACATAAAAAAAAACCTAATAGCATACTACCGAACGAATTGTCGAATCATTTTTTACAAAGAGTGTAGGTTGCATTTACGACGTTCTAAAAGAAGAATAAATTTTATATTAAAAAAAAATTGTACCAGATAAGTTAGATGTTAGGTGGACCGTACACAATTTTTATTGGACCATAAATATGTATTCGAAACATAATTGTTACTATAAAATTCGTAACGTATTGTAAAATCTCAACAGTTTTCGTTTCATAAATAAGACTTAACGCTTAAGACGATAAACCATAAAGATTTCGCTATTCGAATATGTGTTGTGATTTTTTTTCTAAACTTCAAAACTGCCCAGAGCTTGACTTCTATACATTCAAGTCCATTCCACAATTAGTTTATTCTACCTGATAATCGACATGTAGCCTCAGTGCAAAAAGTCTCGCATTGTAATAGGGCGGGAAAACTGACGCTGGCAAATTGTTCCACGCCATTGTCCGCATTACAAACCTGGTGGAGGCAAATATTGTTCTACTCAAGGGAAAGTGGATAAAAGAAAGGATGCTGAGTGTCTTTTGGTCTAATGAAGACATAGAATAAAAGTGTCAACGATTTATTCTTTTTGCCTTCGAGTTTTCTAGAATAGTATTGTGCCTGCAAATAATATTTATTACTATCGACTCGCACTCCTTTTTAATCTAGAATATTATTGTGCCTGTACAAATTATTGATTAATAGCGACTCGCCCCTACTTTTCCCGGGTGCAATGTAGATGCATAATGATAGATAATGTAGCGCTGTTATCCGGGTATGCCCGCTAAATTTTGTTGCGCGTTAGTTTTAACTTTATGATATTTCACAATATATTAATTTAAATTGCGCGGTGAAAGAGGTAATTATTATGCACATGAAATGCTTAAGTTAACTAAAATATTTAATTTGATAAGGAAAAATAACGTACCCGCCAAAGTGGCTTTCAAAATTCCACATAATTTGTATTCCATCCAATTTTTTCATCGTCATCGCTGACTTTTTTGTAATTCCAATAAAGAGGCAGATATCCATCATACAGAAAAATATTGTTATATTTATAAAGAATAAGATCTTTTAAATCCTTCGCGCAGTTTTAAAGATCTAAGCGTATAGATCAGATGGCGGGAAGAGACTACTTTGTGGAGATTATTGTATGTAATAATGTATATGTATTACATATATGTATGTCATGAGTGAGTATGCAAATAAACGAATATCATTGCAAGAGTAGATTTGATTTTCTTTTGTTACATTATGAACGTAGATGCGTTGACTAAGTCATCTGTCGAAATCGTATTGTCCTGTCGGCAATTACGTCCACCTACCGGTTGGTGCTTACTTATTTCGTAAACGGAGCGCGTTCGCGCCTCTCGATGCCATTGTTCCCCACTGTCTCATTCGATTGTTATCGTCTAGTTGATGCATTGACTATGCATGCGAGCAAGGCCGCTATTTAGATAAGCCGCTTTTTAGGCGTCATTAACCTTGTTGAGCCGCGACAGCTCAGGCGCTCGTTTTTAATTCAATATACTCGAGCGACATGAGTTCGATCCCCGGTGCGGGCACCAATGAAATTGTTAATTTTAAGTGTTCACTTATCACATGCTCGGGATTGAAGGAAAACATCGTGAGGAAATCTGCATATTTTCGGAATACTAACTAAATATTTCGAAGATATGTGAAGTCCGCCAATGCACAGTTGTGCCGCGTGGTGGACTATGCCCTGATATCCTCTGTACAGAGGAGGCCTTTGCCCAGCATTATATAGGACATGTAAATGATGTTACTTTACTTTTAGAAAATATCGCAACGATCATCTTTTTGTAAGTGATTAGCGACAGTTGACGTTAGAGGGTTTACACCAAGGAATGTGCTTTCAATTGGCTCACTCACCAGACGTAATGCAAAATATACACCTAATTATCACACTCTCGGCACGTTAATACAGCGCCAATTGCCTTTACGGTATGTGAAAACGCCTTATCCACCTTTTTGACATGTATCAGCTGATAATTACTTCTTTACTAACCTTGTTAGTGTTACTAACCGTTGGTTAACTTCGAACGCATACTCGTATAACTAGGACTCTAATAGACATGGCTTAAAGGGAAAACTCGATGGTGATTGTAGACCGACTCTCCCCCCCCCCCCCCCCCCCCAATCGTTCTTGCTATAATAGCAATAGCTGTTTTCTAAGATTTTGTTGTGTACCACAGCAATACCTTTACAAGTTTACAACATTTACCGATTACATTCAAACCTTTTTCCAACCTAATTCCTCCTATGATGCTACATTACCTCTCTGGCTAAACCTTTCAGCGAGAAACTGGCTCTTTTCTCCTGTTACTGTTCGCAACAATACCTGTTAGAAGTGATGAAACATTTCGAACGCGCCAAACCATCCCTTACTGTATGGTTTAGGTTTAAGCCATTTATTTTCATACAAGATTTACAACAAATCACTTACAGAGAAAATATAAAAAACTATAGTAGTATGTTTAACAACAAATTTCCGACCTGAAGAAGCTAGTAGACTAATCATAAAAAAGAGTATGCAATATGTTATAAACAAGTTTAACCGGGCTTTCATTCCAGGAGTCACCGGAGGTCCGAATGTCCCTGCCGCTGGAGCCCCGGGCGCCAGACCCCTCGGCCCTGGCGGCCTACTGGGCGGAGTATGAGGACCTCTGCCGGCAGATCAGCGCTGCGCACCAGAACGATGAAGACGATAACCACTACGAAGGTTTGCACCGTTTTTATTTAAACTCTTCAAAAAGCGGTTCACTCGATGCAGTGTTACCAACTTTTTTAAGTATTGTTCCTTGTCTTCAGAGCTGTGGATCTGGTTCACTTATCGGGTCGCATTCATGCAACCGAATAAACTATAATACAAAACAATCAGTTCCCTTGATAGATCTTCAAAATAATTAAAATCTCAAATTACATAAAGCCTTCAAATGAACGGACGTGATAAAGCTATTAAATTTATTTATTCAGCACTGGCCAATCAGCGATGCCCTTGAACACCGTCATTGAATACGAGTAAAGACTAAGACACCAAATATTTATTTCAAACACAGTAACACAATGGAAACGACCGTTTCTTATGTAAATACGGTATCGAATATTGTTCTAACAAACTTCAAACTTTTCCCTCCAAAACTTATTATTCTGCGCGTTCTGTCTATTTTTAAATATGAATAGCCATTATGATTTTATTATACCGGTTTTAAATATCATATTATAGACGCTAATAAACAAAAAATTGTAATAACAACAATTTAGGAGCAATAGTGGTGATTTATCGAGGCCGTATTACATTTGAAGGAGATAATCGATATAACTTAATACGAAATTAACGCGTCCACTAAGGTCGCCGCCTCCGGCGGTCGCCACATCTAAACTGCGATGTCGCAACGCAAATCCCGTCTGTGTTGCGATTGCCAAAACGTTCTCGCTCCAGTTCGCAGCCCCACGACGAACGGCTCGCGGTAATCCAGCTGTTAAATTAACCGGCGGGTAATTAACGGCGGATGTAAACGTCCGTAGGTTTTTTTACGTCAGAACGTGGCATTGACTTTTGCAGCACCCGTAGGGCCCCGGCTAACCTCACTCACCAGACGAAACGCAGAAGCATAACACTTTCACTTCACGCCGGTGTTATGTGTGACCTGACCTGTCCATTCACGCAACAGCGAACAGTGGTGCTTGGCCCCACTACAGTTTAATACTTAATGCTCACCGACCACAGTAGAAAACAAGCGTGTATCACACATGAGGTCTTAGCCATGATTAGTTATAGCTTGTGTCACGCTTAAGTCTACAGGTTACCAACATTGTTGGAACAGTACAAAGAGGTAGGCAGAGATGGTGGATTTATAAGGCTATAACCTAACCTAATCCTGCCTTTATCCTCCATAAGTGGGGTCGGCATGACATGTTAATCACGGTGTAAGTGTTTTTTGATATGTTTTTTACGACCGGACACCAGCCTAACATCAACCCTCCTTGGGACTTGGATCTGGAACAATTATTTGTGCAGCATACAAATACTTGTCCCGTGTGGTAATCGAATCCATGACCCTCGAAACCAAAGCCGATAGTTCAGTAACTGGCAGTCTGAGTCAGATCAAGATTGTTATTTTATATAAATAAGTTATATTACGTGGAAAGTTGCTATTATTTAATTCTATTTCGACTTTTTATATTATAAGTATCGCTGACAATGTTGTGATCAGTTGTGAAATGATAAAAATAAACTAATTATGAAGAAAAGGTGTAATAATTGCGCTAGGTTTTAATTCTCATTTTTTCCGTTTAGAAAAGCTCCTTCGTAAAATAGCCGCACGATGTTTGAATTGATGAGTATATCAATAAACGAATAAAAGTTTTTTCTGAAAAATTATCGAAATTCATAAAACGTACATGCTTCATATAGTCCTCGAACTCGCGGTATTGCAATTGTTCATACGTACATGTACCTATATTATATGAAATGAAGATGCTATATGAAATGAAAATGTAAGAAATGAAATATGAAGATGAAAGTGTGAATGTGTAAGGCTGGATGTAAATGTTAAACGAGAAATGAGAAGTTTCGTGGTAACTGGTTCGTGGCTATCTCTTGGGAGCTGCCGCGAGGTCGTCTTGATTCAGATGTCGTTACCCAATCGGCAGGCACAAGTCCTAACGTCAAAACGCATTACTGTTAGTTACGACAAGCCGTACTATTATTGCGTATACATTAATAAGGACGTCAAAAACTTCAATGCGTCTCGTGATGTTTGTTGCTGCGTGGTTCTCGACGTGTCGAAAATTCCGAATAAAATTCGTGATATAACGATAGCATTCAAATAGTGACGTTTAAGATTTTCCAGTATTTGTGTAATTAAAAGGCTGGCAACCGCATCGCCAAGGGTGCTGGAGATATTCCTGGGCATCGAATCTCTTAATACTAGGTGACCCGCCAACTCATTCGCCACATTATTCCATAAAAAATATTACTGTGTACTTCGGGCCCCGAGTTTACTGGATGGATTTTGTAATATGCCCAAAATATATTAAAAAACGAAATAAATAGGTACAGTAAATTTTAACGTTGAATGAAAATAAGTACGAAAGAGAAAACAGATAAACACTATAATATTTGTCTTGAAAACGTTATCATAATAACATTATTTATAATTTATAATTTTATATTAAACCACAAACAAATTTTTTTTGTATATTGTGCTGTAAAAAAAATAAGTGGCTCAAACTAAGAAGACTCACGTGTCAAATTGAGTTTACCCGATCGTGCAAAATTGAATGATCAACGAGGAAATAAACAATACAAAAGCCGTGTGCCGTTTGTGTGTTAAGGACAAACCTGAACAACGCTTCGTGCTCGACCGGTGTTCGCTGTTCAACATCTTTATTTTTATACCTCGGGCAGTTGCGAGCGCAATCTTTCTCGCAATTTTATCTTTGGGCACTTTCACTACGCATTTAATCTTTGGTCTATTGTTATGTAACCTCGGATATTCATTTTCGATAGAACATCCTTAAGTTTTCCGATATGTTTTTTTTTTCATATTCTCAGATTAAAAGAAAACATTTGCTCAGAAATTATATTTACAAAAGTCCTTTCTTATTATTTTCATTCTACTCGAGTGAAATGCTCATAATTTTCCCGGTGAACAAAACAAAAATAAGAACACTTTTTACCAGCTATATACAACTTTCTAATAACGTTTCTAATAGTGGTAACTGGCTGTGTAAATGCACATGAAACGATCTGACAGCTCGGATGCCGCCATTACAGTCGTATTTTCCCGCGTACCGCAGCGCCGCGGCGGGAAACGCATCGGCGTCATAATGAAATCGCTTATTCGACCGCAAGAAAGCGATCGGCGCTGGTCATGACTGATTGCTGCGGTCGCTCCCATCGGCTCTCTCGTGTGTTGCGAACGAGGTCCGCATTCCTGCGTGGGACAGGTTCCGACGTGATAATAAACTGATACGTGATAATAAGCTCCGTCAATTCCTCCTGCGGGGAAAACGTTTTGATTTTACAACACGCTGTCCAATTTTTGAGTAACTTGGTGATTTTTAGGGTTCCGTAACCAAAGGGTAAATAGGACCCTATTACTAAGACTCCGTTGTCTGTCTGTCTGTCCGTCTGTCACCAGGTTTTATCTCATGAACCGTAATAGTTAGACAGTTGAAATTTTACAGTGATGTATTTCTGTTGCCGCTATAACAAAAAATACTAAGCAAAAATTTAAAAATATTTAAGCGAGGCTCACATACAACAAACATGATTTTTTTTTGCTGTTTTTTTTCGGACTCGCGCACGAGGGATTCCGTGCCATTAGGTACAGAAAACCTCGTGCGCGAGTCCAACTCGCACTTGGCCGGTTTTTTTTTTCTATATGAAAGTCGGCAAACATGCATGTGGTTCAACTGATCTTAAGTTACCGCAGCCTATGGACATCTACAACACCTAAGGGGTTGCAGATGTATTGCCATGAATAAAACACCTCGCTCACCAGAAGAATCGCGAAAGTGTATGGCCCCATTGCACGCCGGTCTTCTGTGAGGCCGCACTTCCTCGGAACATCGTAATTGATTGAACGGTTTGAACGATTACGCAGACAAGCGCCAGAGGGCGTGAGTTTGATCCCCACTACTGGAAAAACATTGTGTGATGAGCATGGTGTTTTTGTTGGTTCTGGGTGTTTTCATATTTATGATATGTTATTTATTCATAAAAGAAAATTATGTGTAACTAGCTGACTCGGCAAACGTTGTTTTGCCATATGAATTATTTCTAGAGAAATCGGAACGCACGCATAAAGTGTTTGACAGGTTACATACACAGTACAGACATAGTTGACAGGTTGACAGGTACAGTTTGTATATGGGAATATAAAATTGTTGCTATTTCGATTTTCCATGCAATTTTTCCATAATTTCTCATCATTTAAACTTACCCTGGACTGCCACAAATATTACAAAACCAAAATGAGCCAAATCGGTCCAGCCGTTCTCGAGTTTTAGCGAGACAGACGATCAGCAATACATTTTTTATAAGATTATGTTAATCGGTTACCTAGTACCCGTAGTACAATCGTTGCTTAGTTTGCGACTAGTTAGAGAACGTTGTGTAAAAAATTTCTCTTCAAATATTTATCATTATATTATTATAATATATAGGAGGCTCTTTGCTTGATGCATTAGTTTCTGATCAGTTGTGGTGAGGGTCAAACGAAATTTCTGCTCGCTTGGGATCGAATTCACGCAAGCCGATTGCTTGGCAAACCAGTCGGCTCCCCACATACTGAGATCGTTTGTTTGCACCGAAAAGCGGTTGGGCAAGTGTTCTGCATTCTCACCGTATAAGAGCGTTGAGCAACTCGGCCGATAAATACACCGGCTAAATGTCCGATCGATGAAACAAAGTGCTGGCAACACTCCCATCGTTTCTCAACGATCCAACGTTAACCCTTTCGCTAGCAGCTGCCCTCAACTCTCTACGATCTTTCGCCAAAGGTCAGTGGAACGAACCAGTCCGCGATTTATTACCAATTCTGCAACATTCTATTATTCGCCGACACTGTACAGTAAGAGTCCTGTATTTCGTTTCTCAAGTTATCTCTTTTATCTATCTGTCACGTGACCATGAACGCTGAAACGGTGATTGACGAAATTATGATTAATTTTTATGGTTCGAAGTTCGAACTTTGGAAACTATGATTAAAA